GAGAAGGATATCATGTTTGGTAAGTTCAGAGAAAAAGAGAAGACCCCCAATGAGATGGATTGGCCAAGTGGCAGCATCGATGGACTCAAGCATGGCAACAATAGTGAGGTTGGCCCAGGATCAGGCAGTGGTTCCTTCTGCTGTGCATAAGGTCACTATGATTTGGTACCAACTCATTGGCACCTAACAACAACAACAGTAACAACCCAATCCATTGCATTTTCAATGGTCTCATATACATGTGAAATTTGGCCAATGATTAAGAAAGACTAAAGAAGAATTGGTACAGTTGAGTTGTGGTGTTGGTGAACAGTATTAAAGGTCCAATGGACTGCCAGATCCAACAAATCTTTGTTGGAAGAAGGACTAATCTGTGTCCTTAGAAGCCAAGATGTCCAGATTTCATCTCTCACACTTTTAACATATTATCAGGAGGGGCCAGTCCCTAGTAAGAACATCTTTTTTGGTAAAGTGGAAGACAGCAAAAAAGAGGGCTATTCTTAATGACATGTACAGACACAGTGGTAACAACAATATGCAAATGAGTAGCAGAAACTATGAGGATGGTGCAGGACCGGGTGGTGTTTTGTTCTGTTGTGCATATGGTTGCTATATGTTGGAACCAACTTGACAGCACCAACAACATAGGATTATGAATTGATAGTTCCTTTTGTCAGCTTTGTAAAGATATTTCAGTGTCTATAGATCCCATTTGTTCCAATGAGAAATCCAGTTATTTGCATCTTATTTATAATGCCAATATTTGGATCACCATTGAATCCATTAAATGATGTATTTTGTCTCATAGTTTAGGTATGTCTCTTAGCCTACTTGGTTTTGTTTTTTGTTTTTGCCAAACATTTTGTAAGACAATTTGTTGTTGTTGTTAAGTACTCTGGAGTTGGTTTCAACTCACAGTGACCCTGCACAGTTTCTGAGGCTGTTAATCTTTATGGGAACAGAAGACTTCATCTTTCTCTTGCGGCATGACTGGTAGTTTTGAACTGCCAACCTTGAGGTTAGTAGCCTGATTCATAACCACTATGCTACCAGAGCTCCTTTAAGTCAATTTACAGAGCATTTATTTACAGAAAATATATTAAGTGAAAACTTGACAGTGTTTTTTTCTCATTTGGCTACTCCATTTTCTTTCCTATTCTGGATACTCAACCATCTTCAGGATTGCAGATATTTTAAAAATTGTGCTGGTTTCTTGTCTTTTTAGATTCTTTCATTTTACAAGATTCTTTGCCCAAATTCTCAGCTTCTTATTTATGCCCACAAACAGCAAGGAAAAAGTAGCTGCAGAAGGTTGCCTCTCTTATTCAGGATTGGTGTTTCTCTAGGATTTCAGTCTTTAAGTTTCATGATGCCTAAATAACTCTCTGATGTCTTTTAATAAATATTTTAATACTACACCCATTATATTTCTGCCCTTAACCTGAAATATGAATTATTCATTCTGTTTCTTTTATATGTACAGTGATTTCAATAATGATATGAATATATAAGGGTTACTTATAAATTATTATTGACTGCTGATTTTTAACATAAATATCTAATATAACAAATTATAATTACCCTTCATAATTTTCAGTGATCCCAGCAAAATGAACTGGTTCACAGCGTATAAAAATTATAAACACAAGTAATATAAGTGTTACAATAGATGTAACTATCACAAATCTCATAATGGCTTTACAAGTCAGCTTTAATTTGGAAATAATGACTCCTCCCAATATTTGGCCAATTGAACCTCCTGGAAGTAAAACAACTCCTAAAAGAAAGGAGGGAAGAAAAAACACAGTTAGCGAATAATAAGATGATAATATAAAACAAAATAAAAACTACTGTCATTGTTTCAATTCCAACTCACTGTGACACTACAGAACAGAGTAGAACTGTTCCTTATGCTTTCTGAAACTGTAAATCTTCACAGTAGCATACAATCTTGTTTTTCTCTTTTGGAGCAGCTGGTAAGTTTGAATTTCTACCTTGCAGGTTACCAGCCCAACACATAACTGATTGTGACACCAGGGCTCCATAAGATGATAATAGTACAGTAAACTCATACCTTGATGCAGTCTGCTTTGCTCCAAACATATTACAATCATAGACTTTTGTAAAAAGACAGAGAGGAAACTAAACGTATGAAGAAAATCTCAACAAACTTGCACCACAAGAATAATACAAAGCTGTAAATGGGGTTGAAGTCTTAGGCCTAGTATACTCTAATATTGATAGTCAAGTTTTGATTCTATAATAATGAGATAATGTAGTAACAACATCTAAAACAAATTGAGATATAAATCTATACAAAAAATAATAAAGGGAACCCTCTTACTTAGAGTTATTATTGATTGCTGCTATTGTTGTTAAGTGCAGTTGAGTCAGTTCTTACTCATAACAACCCTGTAAAGGGTTTTTGAGGAGCAGCTGGTGGATTTGAACTGCTGACCTTGGGATTAACACTCTTTTGCTTTTCCTATAGTGTCACATTTGTTTCCTGGATTTATGTTTTATTAAAAAAAAAAAAAAAAAGTATGCCTACACTAACAAGAATTGACAAGCAGAAAATTGTTACTAAGAATTGAACCAACCAATCATTAGTTGTACAATATTAGTAATATCACTAAAAGTGGGTAACGAAGAGACTTATTATAAGGTTGCTCCTCTATTAAAGCATGAAGAATTAGAAGAGCAAAATGAAAAAGAGTAAAAGCAGTAGAAGGAGAAGAAGTATAGTTATATAATAATCAGATTAATATAAAACAGTAAATTTACATATTGATTTGATCTCTTCTGCTTTGAACATAGAGCAATGTAAACAGGAATAAAGAATAGAACTATAAGACAGAAAATAAAACAAAGTATTCCATTTACAACAAATTACATTTATTGCATAGAAGTTTCTGAAAACCATCTTAAAATATGTAAGCTTGAAATGCTCAGAAAGATAAATTAAGGTTTAACTTCCATAATAATGAAGACAAAAAATAATAAAACCACAGGAATAGGGGTGGAAATGACAGGTGGATTAAAAAATATTAAATGAGAAACCCAAATACTAAAAATATAATGACTGAAATAAAAGTTGGCACCTCATGATAATCTTGAAACTAAACACAATTAAAGAATACAGACTCAGAGATATTGCAGGTTCAATTCCAAGCCATCACAATAAAATGAATCACACATTTAATTTTCATTTTCAAGTGTATATAAATGTCATGTTTACACTATACTATAGTCTATTAGAGGAGCTCTGGTTGCATAGTGGTTACGAATCGGGCTGCTAACCTCAAGATCGGCAGCTTGAAACCACCAGTTGTTCCATGGGAAAAAGATGAAGCTTTCTGTTCCCATAAAGATTTGCAGCCTCTGAAACCCTGTGCAGAGTCACTATGAGTTGGAACCTACTTCACGGTACTTAACAACTACAACATAGTCTATTAAGTGTATGACAGCATTATGAAACATTTTGAAGTACTATGATCATTAGCATAATGTCAGCTTGAGAAACAAAATGAACACATGCTATTATGAAAATGACTCTGATACATATGATCAATGTAGGGTTGCCAGAAACAAGACACCTTGTAATAACACAATACAGCACTGTACAATAAAGTGCAATACAACAAGGTATGCTTGTACATGAATAAATTGTAAGAGAGTCCTGGATTAGTTATTCAGTAAGTATCAGAAGTGGTACTATGGTATAATAGGCTGGACTACAAAGTTCGTTTGAACCACAAGGTTGACTGTTCAAGCTCACCAGCTGCTCCTTGGAAACCCTATGCAAGGCTGCTATGGGTTGGAACCGACTCAACACCACTTAACAACAACAACAAAAACAAGTATCAGAAAGGAAAATAAGTGAAACAAATAACCAAAATAAGCAACTAAAATACAGGAGTAAAATGATAAAAACTTCAGGCAGATGAACAAAGTCAAAGTCAACAATGATAAATATTCTCAACCAAACACTTGTCTGTTAGTGTGTCGCAATGTGGTGGCATGTGTGTTACTTGTGATGCTGAAAGCTATGTTCCTGGCATTCTAATTAATAGCAGAGTCACCCAAGGTGGACAGGTTTCCAAGGAGTTTGCAGACTAAGAGAGATTAGGAAGAAGCTGAGGCAGACCACTTCTGAATGTTTAGTCAATGAAAAGCTTATTAATAGAAGCAAAATACTCTCAGATATACTTCCATAAGCTGAACCCCTCAGGATGGAAGGCACTCAAAATGTGGCTAGGAACGACCTACCTCCTGAAAGTAAAGTTGAACTTAATGAAAAAGATCTTCATTTGATGATGAGGCACAACTCAAAATGAGTTGAAACAGCTGAAAATATCCATTAATCATTGGAATGTAAAAAGCATAAAGTATGAATGTAGGAAAACTGGAAATTGTCAAAAGTGAAATGGAATATATAAAGCTGTATAAACTAGAAATAAGTGAGCTGAAATGAACTGGTCTTGGTCATTTTGAATCAGATTGCCATATGATTTACAGTGCTGCAAACATCAAATTGAAGAGGAATGGTGTTGTAGTCATCGCCAAAAAGAACATTTCAAGATCTATCTTGAGTGTGCTTAGTTTCAGAATGAGGAGGGTAAGGTAGAATACCTACTGAATAGTTTTTCTCTTCTCCAGATGGATCTGATGAAAAGCAGTGAGGAATGATGTTTATAGGATTTTATGATTGCAGGATTAATTTTGATTAGCACAACTGTAATTGTAGAAGATGTGTAACTAAAAGGGGGGAGTAGTCAATATTTAATTTCAGGAACAGATGCTTCATCAAGAAGGAAAAGCACAAGTAGAGCATGAGATCTTACATAGAAAAGTGGCAACAGCAGAGACAGTGGCAGAGGTGATAACATGGAGAGATAGAGCAGTTGCAGTCTCTATGCCATGGATTGATTAACATTGTGTGCCCAGGGGAAGTAGGATGGCTTGTAGAATATGCCCTTAGGATATTTAAATGACTACATAATTTTTGTTTTGTATGTGTACATAAAATATTTTTGTTTTGTTCAATTGTGAAACATAAGATGTAAACGTGAAGGCATGGGAAAGGTAGGATAACATTGTTGCAGGGAGGGGATTGCAGTCACTGAGATGAATCAAAGCATACAATTTATTGAATGCAAAGCTAATGATCTTGTCTGTTAACCTTCACTCAATTCACAACAAAAAATTAAAAAAATAAAAGGATCTATCTTGAAATACAATGGTATCTGTGATAGTATAGTATTCATATACATACAAGGATAATAGGATGATATTATTAATGACAGTGATAATAATGTGGAGAAATTCTATGAACTTCTTCAGTCTCAATTTGATCAAATATGCAATAAAGATGCATTGATAGTTACATCTGGTTGGAATGAAAAAGTTTTGGGGAAAAAGTAGTAGGAAAATATGGCTTTGGTGATATAAATGATGCTGGAAATTACATGAAACAATCTTGCTAGACCAAAGATATCTTTTCTTTGTTACTGTGTTTAGGTGATGTCGAGTCAGATCTGACCAATATCGAGCCTATGTACGATAGAATGAAACACGGCCCATTCTTGCACTAGCCTCACAATTGCTGCTATACCTGAGCCAATAACTGCTGCCACTGTGCCAATCCATCCTGTTGAGGGTCTCCCTCTTTTTCGATGTCCCTTCACTTTATCAGCTCATTCTCCAAGGACTGTTTCCTCCTAACAACACGTCCAAAGTATGAGAGATGAAGTCTAACCATTTGGCTTCTAAAAAGAATCCTGTTTGTACTTCTTCCAACACAGATTTGTTTATTCTGGAAGTCTATAGTACATTTAATATTCTTTAACACCATAACTCAAGTGCATCAATTATTTCACAGTCTTTTAAATTCATTTTCCAGGTTTATTCATTGCAAATAGCTTTTTTTTTTTTTTTTTTTTTTTTACATCATAAAAGGCAGCTATATACAGGGACCTCCCCAGGTGGAGTACACAGAAATCAGACTGGCTACATTTCTGGGAATGTAGCTCAATATCATTAGCCAAAATAAGGCCAGAGGATAACTGTGGAACCAACAATCAATTGTTCAAATACAATTTCAGGCTGAAGCTGACAAAAAAGAAAATAAATCAATGAGAACTAAAACATGACCTTGAATATATCCCACTTGAATTTAGAGGCCAATTTAAGAGCAGATTTGATGCATTAGACCGAAGACCAGAAGAACTGTGGGATAACATCAAGAACATCATAGTACATAAAGAAAGCAAAAAGTCATTAAAAAGAAAAGCAAGTAAGAAAGAAAAATGACCAAAATAAGTGTTAGCAGAGACTCAGAAAACTACTCTTAGGTGTAAAGAAATTAAAGCAACTAGAAGTGAGGAAGTAAAAGTGAAAAGCAGAACATTTCAAAGGGTAACTTGAGAAGGCAAAATCAAGCACTATAATGAAATGTGTAAAGACTTGGTTATAACTTTAGATTGGAAGAAAACACTCAGCATTTTTCAAGCTGAAAGAATTGAAAATAAAGTTTAAGTCTCAACTTGCAGTTGAATGATTCTATGGGCAAAATGTTGAATGATGCAGAAAACATCAAAATAAAATGGAAGGAATACAAAGTTACCATAGCCAGTAAGAACTGATCTGTGTTAAACCATTTCAAATTGTTGTTGTTGTTAGGTGCCATCTAGCTGATACTGATTCACAGTGATCTTACATGCAATACTGCACAGTCCTGTGATAACAGCAATCATTGCTACTCATGAGTCCATTGCT